ACCAGCAGGGCTCCTGTATCATAATGAAAGGTGACAGCTAAAAGAACTGCAAGGCACAGACTCTGTCGTAGGGGGGGTTTCTAGGGAAACCCAGGGACAAAAACAAGGTCACTAGAGGAAAATGAAGACACCTCTAGCAATAGATAGCAAACAGTGTAACACTCATCTAGATAAGCATACACTACAGGCCTGTTTACCTTAGTTTCTGACACCAATAAATCGTGTGTTGCTTTCAACAAATGCTAAGGCGTACTGAAAGGTAAGAAAAAACATAGTCTGAAGAGATGAAGCAAGCAACCGAACCAGGCTCAGATATGGCAGAGATTTTGGAATTAACAGACTGGGAATTAAAATAACTGTGATTAATAATGCTAAGAACTGTAATGAAAAAAATGAACAACGTGCAGGAATGGATGGATCATGTAACCAGGGATATTGAAACTCTAAGAATCAAAAGGAAATGTTAGAAATCAAAAACACTGTGCCAGAAATGAAGAATGACTTTGATCGGCTCACTAGTAGACTGGTGACTGGTAGACAGCCGAGGAAAGAATCAGTGAGCCTGAAGACAAGTCAGCAGAATGTTCCCAAGCTGAATGGAGTGCAAAGAGGAAAATGAAAGTTAGTATCCAAGAACAGTGGGGCAGTGACCCAAGGTGTAGCACACACGTAATGGGACCACCCGAAGGAGGAGGAGGAGAAGGGAGCAGAAGAAGAATTTGAAGTAAGAATAGTTGAGAATTTTCCAAAATTAATGACAGATCCCTTCCTTTGTAATGATTTTGATATTTAGCTGCTACTGAAAGGGAGGGAAGAGTAAAAACGAAGCATAATGACAGCAGCTCAAAACTGATGTGATAGCTGACAGGCTGACATATGTATTATACCCCTGTAATTGAAACTTTCTTTCTGAAGGGTATCTTTTTAATTTTGGGGAGTGGGTAACTAGGTTTCTTTCTTTATTTCTAATGGAGGTACTGGGGATGGAAGCCAGGACCTCGTGAATGCTAAGCAGGCGCTCTACCACTGAACTATACCCTCCCTCCTTTTGTAATTGAAACTTGGGTTAATTTCTTTGTGCTGTTGACTGTAGCCTGGTATCCTGCCACCGTTTAGTAGAGCATGATCTAAATGTTCTTACAGTGATAGTACTCTGCTTTCAGCCAACTGGTGTAGAATATATTTTTATCTCATTATACAGATGAAGTGGAATTTGAATAGAAATAAGATTTTTGGAGCCAAAAGCCACCTTTTCTACATGCAGCAACAGCAAATTCAAACTCAAAGCAGAAAACCCCTAAATTTGTAATACAATAGAAAGAACGGTGTCAATTGTGCTATCACAGACATTCACTTACCGAATAAGACTGGGTTATTCAGTTAGTGGAGTTCTGAATGTTTCTTGTGGTTTATGTTATGAAAATAAAGTCTTTTTCTTAATAAAAATTAGGTTTAAGAATTGTAAAGGGATGTACTCTTCTCCCCTAACTTCTTTCCCCCTTTTGGAAGTCACTGAATTTGTTAAAAATCCTTTATTTCTGTTGGAAATTATAGGATGTCAGGATGAAGAAACTGACAGGAAAATGACTTACTCAGGAACCTAAAAATCATAAAGTTGAGGTTCGATTTCAAGTTGCCCAGCCCTTTTTCTGGTGCTTTTCCAGGGAAGCAGTGTGTTCTGCCCAGTTTCTCTACAGCATTTGTTAACCCACTGGTCTTAGCTTCCTCACTTTTTAATGCCAGTCTAGTTTCCATGACATTGACTGCAAGACAGTTTTAAAATGGCTTCCTTTTTGTTTCAATTTAACAGAAAAGTAGCAGTTCTGAATCATTAAGTGACAAAGGTTCTGAATTGAAGAAAAGCTTTGATGCTGTGGTATTTGACGTTCTTAAGGTTACACCAGAAGAATATGCGGTAAGCCGCCCAACTCTCCTCCAGTTTTTGCACATGATTTACACATTGGTGCCATTGAGTTAGAATTTGTAGGCCCAGCAGAGGAAATGGTTAAAAAAAAAGAAAAGAAAAAAGCTCATTGTGGGAATTGCTGGTGAGGGTCGCACAGTGATGGAGCAAGCAGAGGGGTGAAATGGAGAAGGTAAGATGATCCATAGAGCAGCTTTGTAAGTTACACTTGAACTTGGTAAGTAATTAAACTAAGTATTTACCTTTATGGTAATTGCTTTTGTCCCTGCCTGTACCACCTCCCCAAGCTGACTGTACCTTATTGACATATGTAAGAACTATTTTTCTTTTTTTGTAAATTAAAATATTGAAAAATGAAAGTTGAGGGCACTATTGCAGTATCATGAAGGGTACCTAGAAAAGCCTTTAATTCTTAACTGACGTAATGTTCCTTTATTTAGGTTGTCTTTCTCCTTTAATTTGTTAGCAGAGTGCATTGATTTGATACTGAACCAGTCTTGCATTCCAGGAATAAACTGTGTTTGGTCATAGCATATTATTTGGTGTGTTGCTAGATTCTGTTTTACATCTGTAGCCACGAGTGAGATAGGTCCGTAGCCATGTGGAGTCCTTCAGTGTGAGTTGCCACTAGAGTCGAGTCGTTACCTTTTATAAGTTGGGAAGAATACCTTTTTATTAAGGTCAGATTTTATATTACCATTTGAGGAGATAGGATTTAATAGTCATAACAACACTGCTCCATGAA